AAGGGCTAACGAGGCGCCTCCAACAGGCCCCTCAAGGATCCGAAGAGGCCCTCGGGATGGCCGAAGGGGCCCCGACAAGTCCTGCAAGAGGCCCCCGAGGGGCATCCCGACAGATCCTGGTATCCACGCCTCAACACCCACAGCTCGGGCACGGCGACGGAGTGGGCCGAAGGCCATTCGATAGTTGTGGCCCTCGCAAGATCCTCCACCCTTCTCTTCCTACTCTTCCTTCTCCTTCTCTTCCCTCCCCTCCTCCACCTTCCCCACCCATGCCTCCGAGACCGCCGTCGGCCACGGGCACGAGAGCTTCCGAAGAACTGGGGACAAACAGACGCCACATGTGGCAGCCGTCCTCGCCTTCCTCCTCCTCCCCCCCTCCTCCTTCTCCTCCTCCTCCTCCTCCTCCTCCTCCTACTCCTCCTCCTGCCCCAAGGAGCGCCTTACAAGCTGCCAAGGACCAAGGAGCGTCTTGACAGCTGCTGAAGAGCACCTGAGAAACTGCTAAGGAGCTCCTTGGAAGCTGCCAAGGAACGCCTTAACAACTGCTAGGGGGCGCCTTAAAAACTGCTGAGGAGCGCCCTAGAAGCTACTAGGTAGCGCCGTGAAAGCTGCTAAGGAACGCCTTACAAGCTGTTAAGGAACGCCTTAAAAGGTGCAAAAGAGCGCTTGAGAACTTCAAAAACCTCACGGTCTTCAGAACCTTCAGCCTGGGAATGGATGAATTCACGTGGGAATGGATCAGTTTACCGGGGAACGGAATTTTTCCCCAGCAAGCCCCAGCCACTGGCAAGATCATAGCTGCACGAATGCCCGTGAGTACCCACGAACGGCTTCACCATGGCTTGGAAAAGGAGTAAGAGCGCGGACAGATCAGACAAGGGTCTTTTGGGAGATGCTCGGCGGCACTTCAGAGGCTCGCGGGACGTTTTGGATCCGACTAGCTAGGGAAGTCCTAAGGCCATCTGGTGTGTGTGTGGGGGTCGGTCAGGGGGGGTCAGTCGGTCCTTCTTTGGATCGGTCTTGGGCCGTCTTGGGCCAATCATGTTGGGTGTCTTGTCGTGGGCTCCGGGAGGTCAGGGGGAGGAAGTATAGCGAATCGGAGGAGGCATGTCACCAAGGCGAAGAGCTTCCTCCATTCCCTCCGTCTCTTCCTCCTTCACCTCCTTCCCCTTCTCTTCCTCCTCCTCCGCCTCAACTTCGCTCCCTCCCTCTGTCATCCTACCTCCTCATCCCTCCTCCTCCTCCTCCTCCTCCTCCTCGTCCTCCTGCTGCTGCCATTGCTCCTCCTCCTCCTCCTCTTTCTCCTCGCATTGCGCAGTTGTGGAGTGCAAGCCGTTTGGTGCGCCCTCGCCGTCCTCGTTGTCGCTGCAGCGGCCGCCGTCGCCGCTATCGCCGTGGCCGCTATCAGAGTCGCCGTGGACGTCGTCATTGTTAGATCGATTTTGACGCCTCTCCGAATTCTCCTTGTTTACCTCGTCCCCTCCTTTTTCTTCTTGCTCCTCCTCCGCCAAAGCGCTCCGAACTACGACTCGAGCAAAGGCGTAGGAGAAGATGACGGTATGCGGTTGTATGTTTTGGGTCCCTTCGAGCAATCCCTGCAACGGACAGGCGCTCCCGACACCGTGGCAAGCCTATTTGGGTGGTGTGGCATCATTGGTAAAGTACGGTTTCCTTGGATTTCATGGATCGCTTCACAGCCGAGCGGATGCAGAACACTCGCGATATGCCGCGTCAGGGAAAATCGCAGTCGCGTCAGTCAGAGAAAAAACATCCAGACCTCCAAGGTCGTGATGCCTCTCGAGGCAAGAACTCGGCGAGAACAACGGCCATACAAAACACCTGCTCATTCGCCCTGAATTCGAATCGGCATGGCGCTTTCCGGCTGCGTCCACCCAGCTGGACTGTGAGGAGCTGCTCGCACGTGCCCCCCTGCTTCGCAGGGGGGCGCCAAGGGCAGCTCATTGCAGGCCGGAGTGCACGCTGACCACAGGCGCGCTGCGCTGCGCCGCGGGCTCCTGGTGGCGGATCTGCGCCCGAGCCGCTCCCAGCTGCTCCGAGACCTTGTCGTGGATGCTTGCCAGCTCCGAGTATATGAATTGCCGCATGTTCACGAGGTCCTGCACCTTCGCGGTGTTGGCGCCCCGGTGCTGCACGGCCAGCTGCCAGAAGTCGTGCATCGTGATGATCTGCCTGTCCCCAAGCACTATCTTGGCGTGTTCCAGCAAGACTTCCGTGTCGATGCAGAGCATATGGAGACCATCGGCAACTCCTGGATCGCCAAGTAAGTGTATGATTTGCTCCATCGTGATGTCACCATCCACGGTCAAGTTGTATTTGTTGTCCAAGAGAACCTTCTTAACTTCAGCGAGCTGGTTCGTCTCCGCTTCTACGTTGGCAACAACTCCAACTACCTGTACTAATACGCCAATCAGCATATTCATAATCGTGATGAACCCGAGGAGGACAAACATGAAGAACAGCATGGCGAACAATAGGTTCTCCCTGGCAAGATCGTGAGTCATGGGCGCCATGTCGGGGATCAGGCCTCCCAAGACCAGGGCTACCATGGCCGCGGGCACGCTGCTGAAGTCTCCGTCGTTGTTCAACTCCGAGTCCCTGGCGACCTGCACGAAGAGTATGCCGAAGACGTAGAGGAGCGTGGTCATCAATACACAGATGAGGAACACGGTCCGCATGACGACCAGCATTCCTCTTATGATCACTGTTAGCTCCGGGATGCTGCGAAGAAGCCGCGCAATGCGCACAGAGCGCGTGAGCCGCGCCAACTTCACCAGCCGCAGCAGGTTCGTCGGCAGCGCACTGGAGCCCTCGGAGGACACGGCGGACAAAATGAACAGAACCCACGTCTCGAGCACCATGAGGGCCAGGAGGATTGTGTCGAACATGAACCACCAATCGCGGATGCAATGGACCGTGCTCCTGAACGCGCAGAGTCGGACGAGCCACTCCCACAGAAAGAAAATGCAGAACAAGTTCTCCACCACCTGGAAGCCCAAGTCGGCCTCGTACAATACTTCCTTGTCGTTGTAGTCGGTCTCGAGTCCTATCCAGATGGCGTTCAAGAACACCACACCCATCTGAGCGGCGCCGAAGGCGGGGTGCCGCGCGATGCGCTGGGCGCGTCCCTCGGAGTGGTACAGATCCGCGACGTCGTACTCGCCTTGAGTCGGGCCTGTCCCCCTACAGGCCGATTTTGGACGAAAAATTAGAAATACCCCCAAAATGTACAAAAAAATGCTCGAACATGCTCAAACAATAATCCCCAGACTTAAAAGAAAAAACAAAAAAACAACTATTTTTGATTATTCCCCCTGTAGAGGGACAGGCCCGACTTAATACTCGCCTCGCCAGGCCACCTCCTTGGCGGTCTCCTCGAGCATCTTCGCGTCGTAGAAGGCGCTCCTCTGCGCCCTGCTCCGCTGGAGCGGGAACGCGGGGCGCCTGCTGCTGAGCTTACCAGCCATCAAGGTCGGGCTCCAGGTCATCCTGGTCGTCGTCACCGAGGCGGCTTCCGTTCCAGGTGCTCCACCTGCTCGTGGGCACGACCCGGCCAACATGGTGACCCTGCCCGACGACGTTGATGCCCTCAGGCCCCACAGCCCCATGCCGGCTGGGCTCTCCGTGTCTCCGGGCCCACCCCAGGTGGCCAGCGGCGGCGGCTCCGCCGGCGGCGCCGGGAGGCTGTCGACCCGAGACGTGCTCGAGGGAACCTTCTGGTCGAATGCGAGCTCCTCGCCCGCCGGCTCCACGGCGCCGACGGGCCCCCACGGGGCGCCGCCCAGCAGGGCGACAGAGCGCAGGCGCGAGTCGGTGCCCGCGGGCTCCGCGTCCTCTGCGAGGGCGCCCGCGTCGCCGACGTCCAGCGGCTTCGTGGCCGGCTGCGACGCTGCGTGCTCCCACTGCGGCGTCGCCCCAAGTGTCGAAACCGTTGTCTCCAGCACTTCTCGTGGTGACGAGGGGATGCTCCAGGGGCGGTCGGTGTGGTCGCTGCAGAGAGCCCGCAGCGCCCTCGCGTGACCGTCGAGCAGGCCCTGAATCCTCGCGGACTCCTGCGAGAACGTGGCCTGCAGCTCCGCGAAGCTCGCTGCCAGCTGCCCCGGCGACGCCACCCTCGGGCCCGGGCTCCGCAGCATCGCTCTAGCGGCGGGGGGAGGCCTCCCCCGCAGTGCACGCCTGCGCGCGCGCGGGTCTGGTCGCTGCGCGAAAGCGGCTTGAGCCCAACTTGCTACGGACGACGGTATGCAGTTGTGGGGGACGATTGAGACGACCGAGGGCAACAACGTTCTTTCTGGACTAGCACGGCGGCACCGTGCCGCTACGATGGGCCTTGACTGAAGCCCTCTGCCAGCTGTGCGGCCGCCTTGGAGAGCCCTTGTGCCGTCATGGGCCGCTGAAATCCTTCCACATCTAACGGGCATCTGCTAGGTGTCGCTTCGCGTGCCACTCCTGGTGGCCTTCTGCCTATCCTGCCTTCGCGCCTGGGATGTGGGTCGGAGGCCTCCTGGATGCCTGCTGGGGTCTCCTGGGAAACCTCTGGGGAGCCACTTAGAGACCATGCTGAAACCTCTTGGGGCCTCTCCGGCCGGTCGTGCCTCGTGGGGCCCTCCTGGGTGTCCTCTTGGAGCCGTCTCGGGGCGACTCGAGGCCCTCTTGACCCGTCTTGAGGCCACCATGGGCCGCCCTGGAGCAGTCCGAAAGCCATCTGGGGCCGTCCGCAGGCCGAGCTGGAGCTCTCGGGGAGCGTCCAAGGGGGAGCCGGAGGAGTCTGGGAGAGGGCGCGCAGTGTCGTCTGGGTGCCCTGGTGTTCGGCCACGGGGGCCCCTGGGGCAGGGCTTCCGCTGTGTTGAGGATATGTCTGTCTGTCTGTCTCTGTTCGTCTGTATGCATGTCTGCGTGTATGTATGTGGGGATGTCTGTGTGTATGCATGCATGCATGCATTCATGGATGAATGTAGTATGTATGTGTGTATGCTTGTATGCATGTGAGCACACACGCATGCATGTATGCATGTAGGTATGTGTGCTTAGATGTATGTATGACTGTATGCTTACAGACGTGTGGCCATATTTCATTTATCTAGATATCTGTGTGTGCTTGTGTGAGATGCACGGCTGTTCAACTAATATACAAAGTCGAATCGTGACAGCTAACCCAGTACACCCTGCAATTCCCTGCCGCTGAGCCAGCAACTCTAGCACTCGTTAACCAAAACTACAATGCGGTCCAAATGCGCGCACCCCCGCGCGCGTATGCCCGAACCAGAACAGCAAACGTGCTCTCGCCATTTCAACAAACAGCCGTTCGTAGGACGAGAATAATCAATTGACACACTTTGCTAGTGATGCGTTCTGGGGATTCCGAAATTTCAAACAGCCTTCGCGCGGGGAACACTTTGCGTCGTATATTGTCTACTCTGTTTGGCGCCGCTGGTCGGTCACCCATTCGCTATCGAGTAACCCCGTCGCCCGTAGGGAGCTTTTTGGCAATTGCTGATCCCCCTTCTCGTTGGAGGGCGCGGGGGGGGGGGACGGTGGCGCACCGCCCCGCCGCCCGCCGCCGCGCACTGCGTGCCTCGGCAGATTTCAATAATATGAGCTTAGCTACCGACGTCAACACACACAGCTAATCGCACGCGTTGTTTTTCCCAGCGGCGCACAGCCAGATCTCTGCGCTCGCGCACCTGCCGAAACCGTCGGCACACGGCGGTGCCAAACACCCCTTTGCGTCAGGCCGTGCGGGCCACACGCGCGCGCGCGCGCCTGGCGAACACATGCAATCCTAGGGTCGGGCCCCTACAGGCGGATGTTGGACGACCAAAAAAACAACTACCCCTAAACATGCTCCACCAATACTCGAAGAATAATAGAAAACATCGTCCCCAGACTGACTACCTACCAGACCACCCCAACCCAACCCGAAGACACGAATTTCGGGTTGGGGGGGTACGGGTTCCATATGTGTTTTCTCGATGTTCCCCGACCCCCCCCACTGGAAATGGAGGGCAACTTGAAGCTTTCGGGTTGGGTTGGGGTCGTTTGGTGGGTGGTGACAGACTATTCGTTTGACTATTTTGGAAAGTGCCTCCTGTAGGAGGGACACGCCCGACGTATAGCGAATCGCACACGATGTTCTGCTCAATGACACATTGTCAGGTTTCGGCGCTCGCGCAGTGGCGGAGGGGCTGGACACTCTCTTGCATGAGGTCATGCGGGCCACACGCGCGCGCGCGCCTGGCGAACAAAGGCAATCCTAAGATCGGGCATGTCCCCCTGCCCAACATTCGGATTTTGGACGGAAAGTAAAACATACCCCGGAAATGTTTGGACGTATGGAAAACATAATTGATGCATCGCCCCCAGACTATTTTTGGACTATGTTTGAAGATTCCTCTTGCAGAGGGACGCGCCCGACTTACTATCGGCGATGAACAAACCTCCCTCTAGTAAACCTCTCGTTGGTGAAGACAGCCTGGGACCGAAACCGACGGGCCTGGACACGCAAAAACGACGGCCGCGACGCTCTCTCGCGAACCGAAAACGGCCAATTCGCTAATCGACGTGTCAGGGTAGGAGGTCTATCAACCTCCACCACCACTGAGCCTAGCATCCGGAAGGGCGCGTGGGCAGAAGAGTGCACGACTGGCAAGTCTTCGCAGAAAAATGCACGGCACACCCCGCAGAGCGCTATGCGTGCGATCGGAGACTCGACTGTGAAGCAGAACAGCGGAGCGCATCACGACTGTGAGGCAGAACCCGAGTTAAGTTAGGAAAACCGACAGCACCTGTCAAGATGACACTCAAGAGCCGATCCCGCCAGAGTGCTTTTTGACAATAGTATGTACCCGATCGGCCTGATATTAAGATGGCGAGCGGGAATATGATCGAATATGGGGGGAACATATGTGAGCTCTAGCGACCTTCCAAATTTTGAGAAAAGGATTGTAAATATGTCAAAAAAAGACCAGACATTCGTCGATATTTGTTTTGCCAACTAGCCACCCAGCGCGCCGGAATGCGCACCCGCCGCCGGCCGCCTCTCTCGAGTCACACCTATCGCGGACCGCACAGGCGCGCGCCTCCGCGCGCGCGCGCTGAGATCCTGCCCCGGAGCCACTGTGGGCTGCCAAGGCCTCTCGGCACAGAGGTGCTCGACCACGTGTAAGAATCGGGGATGGACAGACCCGGTTCTTGCCCTCCTGCAGAGGGACATGCCCGACTTGAAAATTAAGGGAAGCAACCACGGCATTACTCGGGGATGGACAGACCCCCCTTTAGTAAAACGTGGTTCAGTGAGAACGACCTGAGGCCCAAGCCTGGCGGGCGCAAGCCTGGAAAATAACGGCCACGGCGCCCTCTCGAGAGCAGAAAACGGACAATTCACGAATCGACGTGTCACTGTTGGGGGTTCTGTCCGCCCCCGAAAAAAGGGGCCCTGGGACACACGAGTGCATGGACACACATCCCAAGATCCCCCAACGACGATCCATTGTGCCTGTGTGTCTTTTCCTTCCTGAACATTTGCCGCACGGGTTCAAGGAACATACCAAGACATCCCACAAGCCCTCTGGGAGGAGGTGGTATACCACGTCTTCAGTTTTCAAATAGATGTCGCTTTCTGCATCACAAATCTCCCGTTTGTGCCCGAACGCCTCCCCGGGGACAGCGTGAGAGGGGGGGGAAGAACGAGCATCGGATCGAACTCAAGCCCTAGGCCAGATCGAGCCTGGGCCAAAGGACCGCTTCCATTTCCCCGACCCCCTTGATTCCCCTAGAAGCACGCCCTCCCTCAACCGACAGGCGACGAGCCAGGGACCACGCCGACGACCACCCACCACTCCTTGCCAAACACACGACAACAGCACACTCTGCGGCAAGATCCGCCGACCCCCCGCGGGCCTGCGGCGCGTGAGGCCGTGGCCCTGCCCCTCCCCGCACCCATCCCCCGAAGGGGGGCCCCGTCAGGCCAGCTTGGAGGGGGGGGAAAGGGCATACGTAATGTGCCGACATGGGCCGGCGGCCCCGGCCGCCTCAGAGACGGCCCTGGACGGCCAGCATGGCCTCGGCATGCCTCTCAGGAGCTGCGCGACGATCTCCGATACCCAGTCCAGTCGTTCAGGTATGGCTCCGCGACAGTCCTGGGAACCTCCAAGACGCCACCCCGGGGCTCCCCGAGGACCCCTCGCGAGGGCCTCGACAAGCCAAACACTGCACATTCCCTGTGGAGGACTGCTGCTTCTTGCAAAGCTCGTGCGGGGGCCCTGCCCAGCGGTCCGACACGGGCCACGAGGCCTCCGGGAGGACCCTCTGACGGCTCCAGGCGGCCCCGGGGCGGCTCAGGAGACGCCAAAAGCAACCCAAGATGACTCCAAGACGGGCTCGAGACGGCCCAAAATGGCCCCATGACGTCCCAACACGAGCCCCACTCAGCCCAAGATAGCCCAAATACTGCCTGCAAGGTGCCGTGGATGGCCCAGGATGGCCCCCTGAGGCTCCGCAGGGGCTCAAGATGGCTCCCTGAGGACCCTTCGCGAGAGCGCCAAAATTGGCAAACTCATTCAGAAACCCTGACCAGCGACCCGACATAGGCCAAGAAGCCTCCAGGAGGGCCCCACGACGGCGCCAGCCGGCTGTGGGACGGCCCACGAGACGCCCAAAGCAGCCTAAGTGGAACCCGAGATGGGCTCAAGACCGTTCAAGATGGCCCAAATACTACCCAACACGGGCCCTACCCAACCCAAGGTGGTCCCAGTACGGCCAGCAAGGCGCCGCAGACGGCCCAGGAGGGCCCCCCGAGGCCTCGTAGACGCTGCAAGACTGCACCCCACAAAAAACCGAGAGCGCCCCTCCTCCCTCTGGGTCACGCTTCCTTGTAAACACTGGCCCATGCGAACAGTGCTTCGGCGACAAGGACAATTTCCTCCGAAACGCCACGGGGCCGGCGGATGCGGCATAAGCCTGTAGAGTCCACGTCCGGAGGTGACGTGCGGAGCGGCAGCGTTCTCTGGCGAGCGCCTTAACGCAACACGTCCATTGTATCCGATGTTGCGTAGTAGCTACAAATCGTCTTTTCTTGCATGGTTACCCTCCCAGGAGTCGCGCCATATCGGCGGCCCAAGAAGTCCCCCATTCTGGG